ATAATCAGCAGGAATAGCTGATTTTCTAACTCTTTGAGACCTTCTAGGGGCCTCCTCATTTGGCACATTTTCTGTTTGAGGCTGTTGTTGCTCCCCCTCATGTGTGGCAATAGTTTCTATAGGATCCTGAGGAACAGGTTTCTCATCATCATTCATTGTTGCCATAGGCGGGATAACAACAGGTGCTGGCACCACAGTGTCTTGTACTGTCGGTGCAGCAACAACAGGTAGTGAGAAAAATAGCTCATGAATGATCGGAGTGGGTACATACACCCGCTTCTCTTCAAGGTCAATTTCTCGAGCTACCATGCCCCCCCCCCTCATCATTTCATCCTCTAGGAAGACAGCGTGTCTCGTTTCCACAAACTTTGTATGTCTATCTAGATAGTAGAAACGAAAACCTTTTGACTTTTCTGGGTAACCAATGAAATGGTAACTCACTGTTTTGGGATCTAGCTTCCCAATGTTTGGGTTAAAAACTTTAGCCTCAGCAGGGCTCCCCCACACACGCAAGTGGTTAAGTGAGGGTACTCTTCTTGTCCACAACTCATACGGTGTTTTGGGCACCGACTTACTTGGTACTCTATTGAGAATATGAATGGTGGTTTTTAACGCCTCCATCCACAGACTCATCGGTAAAGTGGAGTAACTTATCATACTACGCACCATATCCATCAGGGTACGGTTACGTCTTTCAGCTACTCTATTCTGCTGAGGTTCGCCCGGTGTTGAATACTGTGCGACTATACCATTCTCCTGTAAGAACCTTGCAAAAGGTCCAGGAACTTGTCCATATGGGGTATGCCGACCATAGTACTCCCCCCATGGTCAGACCTGACTATCTTAATCTTTAAATCATGCTGATTTTCAATTTCTGCTTTAAATATTTTGAATTTATCCAACACTTCTATTCTTTCTTTAATTGGATAAATGTAGCCATAACGGGAGTAATCATCTGTGAATGTTATGAATAAATCAAAATCATCCACACTCTTTACAGGAAAAGGACCACAGATATCTGTGTGAATAATCTGTAGAATTCCTACGCTTCGTTTGGCATCTTTCTTAATTTTCTTTACATACTTTCCTTTTATGCAATCTCTACATTGTTCTAAATATGAGAGCTCTAATGGAGGAAGAATATCATGCTTAACTAGTCTTTCTATTCTCTCCCTCGAAATATGGCCTAAACGATAGTGCCATAATTTCGACAACGCATCGTGAGCTCTCTTTTGTTTTCTGTTTGCATTGTTCGATGAGGATACATTATCATTCGCATCACATACGGAATTCAGATTTTCACGAAGTGATAACAAATAAAGCTCGTCTTGTCGGAAGGCAAGACCAATACATCTATTATTAAACAATATCTGACATTTGTCATTTCCAAAATGGCAATCATAACCATCATGGTCCAACTTTGATACAATAATCAAGTTTCTTTGTATAGAAGGTACATAAAGAACATCTCTAAGAAAAAGTATGAAGCCATCAGCAAGCTCTAGCGAAAGATCGCCAACGGCCTCAACATCTGCTTGTACTCCATTTGCGACTTTAATGAAACTTTTGCTTCTTTGCAAAGTTCTCATCGAACGGAATCCCTGTAATGAATTAGCAACATGAATAGTTACACCTGAATCAATCCACCAAGTAGATTTTGAAACTTGACATACAAGGATTCATTTACGAACGTAATAATGTTCTCACCTTTATTTTTCATTATCATCTTTAGGAAATCGAGACAATTCTTCTTATAATGTCCCGTCTTCTTATAGTAGAGACACTGATCTTTATCCACTGGGAATTGCTTGTTCTGAGACTGTTGCATGGGATCCTTTCTAGATGATTTGGAGGAAGAGCTGTTATTATAGTTCTTTTTCTTATCTTTTAGGTAGTTCACAGTACCACCCTGTGAAACTTTTATTCTTTCCTCCTCCTGCACACACATGGCTATGAGCTTTTCTAAATCCTATTTTTCAGGCTGTATGTTGTAATTAACAACAAAGGTGTCAAATTCTTTGGGCAAAAAAGCAAAAATCAAATGAATAAGAAACTCATCTTTGAGTGCCAAATCCATTGGTTTGAGCTTAGATGCTAGATTGCTCATTCTCAGTATGTGCTCTTTAATGCCACTGTCGCCATCAGAGTACCTTTCTGTAACCAGCTGCTTGATCAGCTGGGTTGCATATGTCTTTGAAGAGCCAGTGAACTGACTCTTTATTCTTTCTAGGTACTCTGTGACCGTGTCACAGTCTGGAATTGAGCCCACTATTGCAGGCTCAATTGTATTCTTTATCACAGCCAAACATTTCTTATTGGCTGTGACCCACTTTCTATTTTCAAGGTCAAAAGACATCTTTACGGGAGCAAAGTCCCGCTCTCTGTTCTGCCATGCAGCATCAGTCTCATCTGTCTCCCTCACCGGTGCCACAGGTTCTTTGGGACACGGTGTGGTGACAACCCAGTCCACCTCAGCGAGGATGAAAGCCAGGTCTATCTTTTTCTTCCACTCAATATAATTATCACCTTTTAGAGTGGAGATCTCTTTGATACAACTCATCAAGTTATATCCTCCTGAAAACACAATTCAAATAGTGTGAGAACACAAATAATAACAACAATAATTGCATGCCTTAGTTTAACGTTGGTCAAAATTAAAACATACAATTGTTTTATACATTAAATCTACATCACCGTTGGGCAGAAATAGATATAATGTATAACAAAAGACTATAATAACATCAACATTATAATATTGCTATTAATCAACGTTGGTCAGAATAATAACAACATTATAATAACTGTAAATTTTTTTCTATGTTTCAAAATTAAATTCTCCCGTTGGTTTCAATTTAATAATGAAAACAATAATTTTTAAGTACGTAGTGGAAACTTTAATAAATCTTTTAATTTTATTTTCCAGAAGCAACTTTACTATTTACTGAAAAAAATATCGTTAGATAAATTTTGTACAAAAATTTCCATAAAAAAATGCAATACAGATTCATCTAATATGCATCAAAAGTTTCTGGAAAAATCTTTTAATTCTATTTCACTGTGTTCGGCCATTTTGGCCCATAGCAGCGCAAACGGCCCATGGCCCACGGCTGCAGGCAGCTTCCAGCGCGCTCCCCCGCGCCCAGGCCGCAACCTGGGCCTAGGCCGGGAATTCGGCCTCGCGCCCTATCCCGCCTGGGCTGCGGCGCTGGCCCATTCAATTTTGGCCGTCCGTTCAGCATCGGATGGCCGAGCGGGCGTTTCGCTCGGAATAAAACGACGTGGCGCGCCTCCGAAGCCGAAAACCCTAATTCATTCTCATTCGCTCTCTCTTCTCTCCTCAGTCAGTCACCGAGCGAGCGACCACGACGGGAGCAAGCAGCGAGCCTCGGCGCCGTCGCCGGCCCCCTCGCCGGCGTGCGCGCTCCCCAGCGGGTGAGCGCGCCGCCGTCGAGTGGCCTGGCCGCGGCGCCCCTGTGGCCGGATACCGGCAAGCTGTGCCCCTGGCCGGCCTTTTTTTGCCCCGCGCGGCGGCGTGACTGCAGTGCCGCGCAACGGCGAGGTAGGCCACCCCCTTTCCTTTCTTCCCCTTTCTTTTGATTCGTTTGTTCGGATTTCATCCGATTTGCCGATTAGGGTTAGGGTTAGGGTTAGGGTTTGGAATGGCCACTGTTTTTCTTTTTCCCCGATTTGATTTCTTCTCGGGTTCGAAGTTCGGTTTCCAATTGAAACCTTGTTATCATCTCTGTCCCAAAACCCGATCTAGGGTTTGGATGTATCTTTTCTTTCTTTTCCTGAACCCTATCTAGGGTTAGGGTTAGATTTTCTTTCATCCGAACCTACATCTTTTCTCAGATTCGAAGGGATCGAGGTTAGGGTTCAACCGAACCCTTTGTCGGCCGAAGCCCCTTTCTACATTCTAGATCCACACTGGATTTCTATTTGTTAAGCCAGATCTATACCTAAATCGTGGCTCTGATACCAATGTTATATCCATAGAAACGATCTAGAGTAGAACCGAGGGACTTCTAGGTAACCAGTTAATCTAGATAAGCCCTAGTACATCTAGACCGAGAGGTGGAGACAGAGAGATAGAGAGAGAGGTGTTGGTGTTGAACCTGAGCCCTCGGAGGGAGTCGCGGATGAACTGGAGCCGGCCATCTCAAGTTCGGTGATGAAGGTCTACGCACGGGCAGCGACGGGTGGAGTAGAGGTGGCACAGACGTCGATGCAGTGCAGACGGACGGTGTGGCAGTGACGACGGCGAAGTCAGTGGAGCTTCCCGTCGCTGGCTGCGCGCCCTCTCAGATCGGTCTAGGGTTTGTAGGTGGGGTTTGCGGCTCACGGTGAACCTCGTACCTCGAGCCGTCAGCCCCCACCACTTTATATAGCGCAGTGCGATGGGGGCCCACCAACCATGTAGGGTTGGGCTCCCCCGATCAGAGCGCGTGACCAAGACCCAATAGGTCGTTGGGCTTATTGACTGGGAGATCAATCTAACATGGTAAACTTCTGTTCTAGAGAAACGACCATCTCCATGATGAGGCTAGTAAGAAAAATCGTATCTCCCTCTCGATGATGATGTGCATAATTTGCAGGGTGCAATGCCTTAACGTAGTTTACGACGGACCGAGTGACCTTGTGGATATTGGGTGATGGCAGCAGAGTGTGAGCAGTACCCCATGATGAGTCATCCCCCAAGGATGACATGACAGCAGTCCTGATGTGATCCACTGTGTCAGATACGGCCTCATCCGGCTTGCCGAGTTCTGCTGACAAGAGGCCTTCCATATCGTCGGTTATCCTTGTGGATCCTACATAGGGTGATGAACTGAAAGACATCACGATCTGTGTTGAGGCTCTGGAGAGAGCATCATGCACGTCTAGCAGTGCCCGGAGCTTCTCAGCTGCCCCCTCTTTGTTGGTAGAAACAGTATGTTGTTGGCAGCTAGGATCATCGACATTCAGAGGAGCAGCAATGGCGTCAACGAAGGTGAGCATCTTCAACATCGTCGTTTCGACAAATCGTACAAATTTAGGAGCTGCAGGGGCGCAACAGTAGCTTCCTCCTGGTCCTGGCTGGAAAATCCACTGAAGCATGCCTGGACGATGGATGTGGTGATCGCCCGGAGAGCCGAGTTCCAACTCTGTACAAGATGCTGTAGCTGCCGCGAGATGAAGATCCTCCGCCCGGATGCATCGAGGTCAGCAAGACGGAAAAGCCAGGCGACCTGCAGCTCTGAGAGCCACCTGTCCGGGGCACTGAAGTTACCATCGGCACAAGCACTGAATTCCTTCACCAGGCCCCTGATGTGCAGGCGCAAAGTCTCCGCCAACTCTTGCGGGAGCTCCATGGCTCGTTCTTGGTCGAGCCCCTAGGCGCTTTCTTCCTCGACTGCCAGAGGTCGTTCCCCTACTGAATAGGATGATGCGGGGGTGTAGGCGGTGCTCGAGATGGTGGTACCTGAAGAGGCGCCGGTGCTGCCAGAAACCCACTGCCGATAGCCGCCGCTCCATGCTCTCCGTCGAACCGCCGCCATCCTGATCCTGATCCTGGCTGCTTCGAATCTGTGTTTCTTAGTAGTAGTTGAGTCGTTCTAGCGTGGGGGGGGTTGCTTTGGTCACTTCGGTGTGTCTTTCTCTCTCTCCGTTTTAGCAAGGTTTTGACTCAGCTTTTAGTAGCACTATTTTTAAAAAGGGGCAATTGGCCACAGGACATGCCAAATGAGCACCGACGGCTGGTAGACACCGCGAATGCGCCAATTTGCTGCCGGCCACTGTGTTTCCACTTTGAGTTGCCAAAAGACACCCTTACTACAATTTGCTGCTGGCTATTGGAGGATTTTGTGCATCTGCTGTGCCTCCAATGCATATGCTGCTATGAACTTCTGCACAGAGTACTAAGGGTGCACAAAATCCTCCAATAGCCAGCAGCAAATTGTAGTAAGGGTGTCTTCTGGCAACTCAAAGTGGAAACACAGTGGCCAGCAGCAAATTGGCGCATTTGCGGTGTCCACCAGCCGTCGGTACTCATTTGGCATGTCCTGTGGCCAATTGTCCCTTTTAAAAAACATAAACTTTAGCAGGAGAACTGCTCCAAATACTCCTTTTTTCTAAAAATTATACGGATTTCAAAGCAATCAAGCTAGTAAATTAAATAATTCTATTAAGTATTTTCTCCTGGGTCCCACTTGGGCCCGGCTCGGCCAAACCCAGCCCGTGCTCAGCCCACACTCATCTCTCCCCCGACCCCCCCTTCGTTCCGTGGCCATTCGAAGCATTTCCGTGAGGTCCGAGTTCCGGCGGGAGCTCGCCGCCCCTTCCGCCCTCCTAATTTCCGTGGCTGGCAAATCCAGTCCGGACTATCTGTTCGTTTGGCTTATAAACCGTACTTTTTCAACCTACGAATAGTATTTTTCTCTCATAGTCATGGCTTACGGGGCGTGGTCTACCCCGATCCTTTTTTTTTCTTGCTTTTTCCCGTGCGTTGGTATCGCCGCGACCACGGCGACACCTCTAATGCCCGTCGTCGATGGTCATCCACGGCCGCATCTCCAGCCCCTTTCTGGATCCCTTTGTGTTTAGCGCCTTTCCATTTCGCGTGACGGGGGATCGGAGCCGTTCCATTCCTGGAGAGGAGGCCCGGCGGGCCATTCTATTACGCATCACCCTTTTTTTTTTGTCTGGCCGTTCTGGTCAAAAAAATGTAAGAGTAGCGATTCTGTATAGATTTTTCTTAGTTCACTGATATCTTGGATATCTCTCTGAACATGCCACGAGTAGGCTCCGTTCGGCTTACCTTATAATCCGGCTTATTCGGCTTTTTTTTTCAGCTGGAACAATATTTTTCTCTCACAACAATTCAGTCGGGACAGTGTTTTTCAGTCAATTTCAGCCAAACGAACGGGGCCTTGTTGAGCTTTCACAAATGCAGAAACTTGACCAAAATTTCAGAAAATTGGAGTTAACATGCAAAGGAGTGTCAGAAATCATTGAGGTAACTGAGGCAACGTATCCAATTGTTCCTCTTAATCCACTAGTGCTCTATGAGTTAATCAAAACATATAAGTCTAAAGTGATTCAGATGCTTGTACCGCAGATGATTCGAAAACGTTTGCTTCAGAGTTGAGCTTTCACATTTATCCAATGACACTTGTTCTATCAGGTTTGATTAATCATTAATCTTCTGCCCGTAAATGATGGGCACTTGCATTAATCTATTTTCAAATGTATGTTAACTCCTTCAGAAGATCAATTAGTCTGTTTTTCACTGAAATATTTGGGATTCTGACCTTATGTCTATTATGTTTTTGTACTGTAAATGCTAATTTTTACTAGACTAGTTTACTTACTTGCATTTGATAGATAATTAATATATTCATTCAATTCTTCCATTTTTCATCCCAAAGAAATAAGCTTGCACGAGCGAAGATGGCAACGGGGCAGGTCTGGACCCAAAACCCGCGGGTTTTGGACCCGGTGGGGGCGGGGCGGGTCTAATATTCGCCCTGCGGGTCTGCGGGTTTTGATTCTCCCCCGCGGGTGCCCGTCGGGGACCCGAAGTTTAAGCACATTGGTAAAAAGCCCAACAGATGATAAAAAAAGGCCCAGCAAAACAGGCCCAACTAAGGATACATTATATCCTTTGCTCTTGGCTCTCCCCACTCCCCTACTGCAGGTCCGCAGCCGCACCGGCGTTGGCGTCCCACCGCACAGGCGATTCGCATGGCATCGCCACCACACTCCTTGCTTGCTTATTATACAGGTGACATGTCTAAATGTTTGGTTATTAATTTTAATTTAGCAGCACTCCTTGCTTGCTTATTATACTTGCAGTGCATCATTTAGGGAGATACTAGTTCAGCTGAGGAGGCTAGGTATTCAATCTATTGTATATACTGACACGGTGACACCTGATTAGGGTACAGGCATAATTAAAATTTCCAAGCAACAACATTTTATTCCCCCCCAAAAAAAAAACAGAAACAGAACTGCAAACATATGTGAAAAGACACAAGTACTAGCTGGCAACTTGTCTTTTATGATGCACTTGTTCACCCTTCGAATAGCTCCTGCAGCATCTCCTGCAACTCCTGAGGAGTGGCTCCTGGGGTGATGCTATTGTTATCCTCCAAGTATTCCAGAAAGCCTGAAACGACTATCCCAATGATAGCTTCACGCAGCCTTTTCCTCAGCTCAGTGTCCGGGACTTTCCAGAGCTTCTGCGCAGCGTAGGTTTTATGAAACTTGGACTCAAACTTTCGCAGTGGTGAGTTTCTCTTGAAGCAATGAATTGTAGAATTGCGCAAGCATTTCAACACTGGTGCCCAAGACACTTGCAGATAACTGTGTATGTATCTGTTGATTTTGGGAGTGAGGCTGTTCAAAAAATGCGTGAGGCCGTCAATGGTCCAAACTGCCTCAAGCTGCTGTCTAATGAAGTAAAAGTTGTTAATCAAGAAGATGAACCTAAGGCTCTGGTCGGAAAACGACTTTGATACTCTGGCAAGCTCTTCTTCTAGGGACCCAACCATCTCCATGATCAGGGTAGTAGTCATAGAACACATATCTTTTTGATGTAGTAAAACAGAACACATATCTCCATGATGAGGCTCAAAAATCACATGGAGCAATGCTTTAGGGGACAGCATATTGATGTAGTTTATCACAGACCGAGTGACCTTGTGGATATCTGATTGCAGGATCTGAGTAGTACCCCATGAACAGGAGTTGCCGTCCCAAGACGGAATGAGAGCAGTCCTGATCTGGTCAAATGCGTTCCGTATGGCATGATCCAACTTACCCAGTTCTGCTGACAAGAAGCCTCCAATATCAGAAGTTACCCCGGTGGATTGCGAACAGGATGAGGAAGTGAAAGACATCATGATCTGTTCTGATGCCACGGAGAGAGCATCACGGACCTCTAGCAGTGCACGGAGCTTCTCAGCTGCTCCCACCACACTGCCAGAAAAAACATGTTGTTGACCACTAGGATCATCAGCATTCAGAGGAGCAAGAGCAGCAATCGCATGAACAAAGGTGAACATCTTCAGCAAGGTTGCTTTGACAAATTGTGCAAGTTCAGAAGGTGCAGGTGGACCAACACTTGCCTTCTCTTCGCTATGAAGTCCACTAAGGCCTTGTTTAGATCACCTCCAAATTCCAGTTTTTTCACTCTCTCTCCATCACATCAATTTTTGGACGCATGCATGGAGCATTAAATGTAGGTAAAAAAAATAACTAATTACACAGTTTGGTTGTAAATCACGAGATGAATCTTTTGAGCCTAGTTAGTCCATAATCGAACAAAGTTTATCAAATACAAACGAAACATGCTACAGTGTCCAGGTTGCAAAAATTTGCAATCTAAACCAGGGCTAAAGCATTTGCAGACGGATGTACTAATCACCTGTAGAGCGGGGGTCCCAGTCTTTACAAGACGCTGTAGCTGCCGCGAGACGAAGATCCTCTGTGCGGTTGCACCAATCTCAGCAAGGCGGAGTCGCGGAGAAGCCAGGCGACATGCAGCTCTGAGAGCCACCTGTTCGCGGCAGTGACGTTGCCATTGGCACCGCCACAGAATTCCTCCACCAGGCCCCTCATGTGCAGGCGCGTCTTGGCAACCTCTTGCTTGAGCTCCATGGCTCTTTCTTGATGGAGCTCCTCCTCCGCGTTTTCCTCCATGACCAGAGGTCGTCCTCCGACCGGATCGAATGACTGAATGAGGTGGTGTTGGTGGCAGTTGAGAGGGTGGTAATGGTACCTGAAGTGGAGGTGGTGCTGCCGGAAACCGGCTGCCTAGAGCCGCCGCTCCATGCTCTCTGCCAGACCGCCGCCATCCTGGCTGCTTGAAATATATATCTGTGATTGGAATCTGTATTTGACGACGGAGGCGCACACACTTGGCTGTAATCGATGAATCTGCAGAGTGATGCAAATGAAATGACCAAGGAATCACGTCACCTTTGAGCCTGGCTTAAAAGGTGTCGGTTTGACCCCATTTTTTCACGATCGTGCCGTTGCACGTTTTTTATTAAGCATAAGAAGAGTTTGTTACACCCTAAGCTAGCCACGGTAATCCACTGATTACCGAGACCAGTGACCGTAAAAACACACGTGGTTGTGATTCACATAGTAGTATTTTGCGATAAACCAGCTGAGCACGAGGCTTATGTATCCTCGGCGTCAAACCCGGCCAAATCAAGGTTCATGGCCACCGAGTTGGATTCGCCCGAGAACAGCGCCTGTAGTGCCTCCTGCTTGGAGGCCGACAAAGGGGTCGCAAAGGCCGCCTGGTACTTTTCAACGACCTCAGCTTCCACAGCGTTGGTGTTGACAGCGACGCAAAGCTTCT